GTCCTACTCCCTCATTTGTAAACAATTTGTAAATATATTTCAGTGTATATTTACACGCACTAACCAGATATTCTTACTTGCAATGGCAATCTTTTTTTACCAGAGTGACTTCTACAGGGGCGACGTTAGTTTTTTAGTCACTAAAACGGTTCTACCTAGTTGCAATTAAATTCAAAGATAATGGTAGAATTCTGACTTTATGCAGAAAAATTTGAAATACTGTGAATTCAGAACATAATGTGTGTAATAAAACTATTGCGTATTCATGGTGACCGTCGAAAACGTGAGATTAATTAAAGCAAATTTAAATTATATTGAATATTGTACACACACAAAAAATGCAACTAAGGTCATGTCACAGTCTGGGCCATATAGGGCTAACTACATGGTGTTGGGGTTCCCAGTTTGTTGCAGATCGTGGGGCGACCTCTGGGTGTACATTTTTGGTTAGTTAACTTCTGAGATGAAATTTTTTTTTTTTTTTTATCTTTTATTTTTTTTTTCACTAGTCAGGATTTTACATACCCCCATACACTACCACCTGACAATGGTATAAAGGGATATAAACAGAAAAAAATGCAATATACAACATTTCTCTAATTCTTCGTCAATTAATCCCTTTCTGCACCCATTGTATAAAAAAAATTTAATCAACGTGTGGTTCGTTTGATCTCAGTTTTTCATTGGTTAAAATCCGATTATGACGTCGAATTTTCTTGCTTTCCTCTGAATTTCCTATTGTGACGGCATGAAAAAAGGCGACCATGCCTGATGACGTCACATAGAAAGAACACATCCTTTTGCAGATCATTCGAAAAGGAGGAATAAATTTGCCTGCGTATTGTTTGAAAATCATTAGAGAAACAGATTCCACCACCAAATCTCGTGTAATACGATATTTATCCACTTTCGACAGTTAAATTTTAAATATTTAAAACGCTCGGCGAGCCTCGCGTTTTAAATTTGAAAATTTAACTGTCTCGAGTAGATAAATATCGTATCACACTCGATGCAGTGGTAGAATCTATATGTATCTCTGACTAATTAATTTTTAACAGTAAGAATATTTTAGGTTACTTATAAATTGTATTTATTTAATTAATCGTAATCTAATTTGAATAAAATTTATGCAGTAGCTTTCTACAAACAACCGGTCAAGTTTGAAAATTAGCCCTGTTCAAACATATAGTAGGCGGATGACATTGAAAATTTGTTGTGTTATTCATATTGCAATATTTTTTGAATTTATAGAAACATATTTTGAAGGTCTCGATCAGAAAGTTTCGAGATACATAGTACATGTAAAAGTCAGCGTGTTTGATTTCCCAAATAAACTAAGAAAACCATGAAGATTTGATAAATAAAGGCTGGGTTTTGAAAAGGCCCAAGAAAGTTGTAAAATTTCCTCAAAATTGAAAGAGAACTTATTATAATACCACATCTTCTTATTTTTATATTATATATAGATATAAGAAGATGTGGTATGAGTGCCAATAAGACAACTCTCCATCCAAGTTACAATTTATAAAAGTAAACCATTATAGGTCAAGGTACGGCCTTCAACACGGAGCATTTGGCTCACACCGAACAACAAGCTATAAAAGGCCCCAAAAAATTACTAGTGTAAAACCATTCAAACGGAAAAACCAACGGTCTAATCTATATAAAAACGAGAAACGAGAAACACGTATGAACTACATAAACAGACGACAACTACTGTAATCAGATTCCTGACTTAGGACAGGTGCAAACATTTGCAGCGGGATTAAACGTTTTAATGGTACCAAACCTTCTCCCTTTTCTGAAACAATAGTATAACATCACAACATAGAAAAACACACTATAAAATATCAGTTGGAAGGCTTAACTCAATCAAAAAACGTAAATTAACACACATTGAACGAATAAATTTGACCTGTGACACCTGAATGCAAATACACAGTTAATAAAAAATTACAAGGGATAAATAATTAAAGTCAAAAGTAAATAAACAGGTTTAAACAAAGTTAAAGTATGATATTACTGTGAAATTTCAAACAATTTATAGAAAATCATCACTTTTGAAGAAACCTGCGTCATATTATACACAGGTAAATGAAAATAATTTTGTTGTTAAGTATACTTCTTCTGTGTGTATAAAATCTTCCGTTTAGGAATACCAAGAAATTTCTTTAATATCAATAAAACTAATCGAACACTTGGTACATATGGGGTGAATATCAACAACAAAAATATACAATTAGTGCTAGATAAAACTTCCTGTACAGGTCCAAGAACAGCATATAAGGAAAAATGAAATAATTTTGATGTTCATAGTACGAAGAAGTGAAAATTTGCAGTAATTAAATACCAAATAATCAAAGCTGGTATATAGACAAGATCCATGTTAACATTAAAAAACAAAAAAGCATTACAAAAAGTATCAACAGGTCAAATTAAAAGAAAGTACGATTTGAGAGTACTCGCAGTTACTGACAGCTAGTTAAAAGCCAAAACAATTAATAATAAAAAAATCATGCATCAGAGACTAAAATCAACTAAAATACATCCCAGGGATTTAGTATTTTAACGTCATGAACAGTCAAAGAAGACATGACTTGTGCAATGCCAAAAATAAATGTATCGACAGGTAGTAGGATAGTTAGGAGTGACTTCTTTATAGATAAAAATGAACGTGTGTGTGTCTCTATACATCCCGTTTGAAAAGAAAATACAAATTTAGTTATGTTTTAATTTGCTAATGACAAAATCGATATTAGTGCCAATGTAAACTATATTCAGAGATCTTATTACAACATTGGTACGATAACCCTTACTAATAAGTTTGTTTAAAGGTTCGATGAGTTTACACGGATCACATAATGATTTCCGCGCTTTAAGTACAATATTACCATAAAATTTAGGATGTGAAATACCATTTTTAATAAGTTTTCTACAGGTACAGCCAAATTTACTAATCAAATCTTTGTATCTATGAAAGAATTTAGTAAATGTTTTAGGTAATTTATGGTAACGAAATCCCTGACTTAATAATTTACCAGTGATGCATTGATTACGTTCGTTAAAATCTATGACATCACTACACACACGGGCAGCCAAAGGCACATCGCCGTCTAAAAAAGGAAAATTAACAATAGGGAATGAAAAATCGTCTCTTTTGTCGTAAATTTTAGTATGGAGTTTCCCTTTAGAAATTGAAATGTCTAAATCTAGAAAAGGACAACTGCTGCTGTTTATGTTATATTTAGTTAAAGTAAGTTCTTTTGGGTAAATTTCGCCCGGGTAGTATATTTTGAGAACTCTGGATTATTTAACGAAAAAATATCATCCAGATAACGGTAGGTATTGTTGAATGTATCAACCAAATGTAACAATGATGTGTCTCTACTGAGTTTGGTCATAAATTGAGATTCATAGCAATACAGGAAAATATCTGCTATTAAAGGGGCGCAGTTAGTGCCCATAGGAATACCTACTACCTGACGATACACTTTATCGCCGAAACGTACATATATGTTATCTAGGAGAAAATTTAAAGCTTCAATCATATCCTCACATTTCCAGTAAGTGTATCTAGCATACTTTCCTTTTTCGTCACAGAAAAAGGCTTTAAACGAGTTACAGCAAATAAATTTACAATGAGATTTTTCGAAAGACCATTTTATTAAATATGAATTTTTTTTCTTTATTAGATTGTGTGGAAGTGTAGTGTAGAGAGTAGAAAAATCATAACTGTCAACAGAACCAAAAGGACCATCAAAAGTATGTATTTTATCTAAAACCTCTAAAGAATTTTTAACACCCCAAAAATAATTAATACCATTATTTTCATAAGCTTTATTACAAAAGTTAATAACCAGTTCTTTGATAGTAGTAAGGGAGGTAGTAAGAAGCACTGATATATTAGTAGTACTAGAACACTTACTAGATGCGGAGATGAAACGGAATTTAAATGTTTTTTTTTGTGTAATTTCGGTAACCAGTACATGGTAGGGACTTTCAAATGTTCGGAAGAGGCTTTAAGCTGGGTAGTGGCAGTGATATGCTTGTTAACGATTTGACTCTCAGTGGTGCGTACGGACCTGAATGTAGAGGAATTGATAATTTCGTTTTGAAGAACTTCCGTGTAGTATATGCGTCATACTACCACTACATTATTGGCTGCCTTGTCTGCCGGTACGAACACAAACCGCTCTGCGAGTACTTGGAGTTTATTTTTTATTCTAGAAATGGGAATATCATGGACCCTATTATTAATTTCAGAATCGTTTTCAAAATGAGATATTCGAATATTAACAGTATTCATAATTTTATTCAAATAACTGTCTAGAGATTTTTTATCAGATTTTTCACGTTTGCACCAATTTTTACAGTAGGCAGACAGAGCGTCTTTAATGACCTGAAGACACTGTTTCCAATCTATTATAGATGGAAGACGGTATTTCGGTCCTTTCTTTAGAAAAGTTTTGACCTCACGGTCTTCGACGATGTTGAGGTCTCCTGTAATAACATGACCATAGGGAACATATCTAAAACTAGATGTTTCACAGTCTCAAGTGGAAGGAACATTATTTTCTATATTGACGTCTGATGTATCTGACGTATAATTAAAAATCAAACTTCTGCTCGGTTTTTTATAAGAATACGAAACAATGGGTGGTTCTATATATTCAAAATATGGAGGTATTTGGCTATAGACGGAAGATATTGAATATGCTAGATAAGTTAATAAAATCAATACCTCTATTTATATATTTTAATTTAAGAAAATGTCGTTTATGATTTTCAGGTTTATCCGATACTAGCACTAGATAGTTGGGAAATATCCTGCAAATGCCAAATAAAGATATCTAATACGTCACTTTCAGGGAGCCAATCGGAGATGCAGATACTTATGCATTATGGTGAAGCTGTAATTAAGATGGCGACGGTCCTGCATCTCGAAACCCCTGTGTTTTTAAGCGGTGCCAAGTCAGAAGAAGGAGAACAATTAGGTATTTTAGTGGCAGAGGAAACTTACAGTGATGTTTTTTTTAATTGGATTTCTCTAAAAAGCCCTTACAAAAGTTATTTGCATAGTTTTATACCGTCGCCTACTGAAGTTATCTACGGCTACAGATACCCCAAACAATGACATAAATGAATTGAAGAAATATAAGAAAAGACTAGGATAAGGCATAAAAAGATCGCGCGACAATAAATAGGATTTGCCTTTTAAAGAGGCTGTACCGCTCCCACAGCTGTACATGACTTTTAACTTAATATGATTAACTTCACTATGATTAATAGTAATAATGCGTAACCCAGGGATCATTATTTGCTTTTCAAAATGAATTACTGAACCAATCGTGATTTGAACCTGTGACCCATTGCACAGAAGAAAGTCGCTGCTCTACCAACTCAGCTAAACGAGTAATCCACAAGCACATGGTTAAGTATTGACAAGGTGAGACTAAGGGGAAGGGGTAATGCCATGAAGTGGCGTGAGGGCTCCACTTTTGTGGTCTAAAATGAACACGTTGAGGGATCCTATGCAATCATTCTTTTATTCTTCCCATTGTGATTTCCTTGGTCGCCATGTTGGATGTACACACTATATTTATAATGATCTTTATGAACTTACCTGCTTTCTGTAAATCATTTTTAAGTTATAAAATACACTTATAATATAATATCATTTAATAATCAATGTTTAAAAGTCATCAATATGTGCTAATATTAAAATTTCAAGTGTTATTCGGATAATAACAGTGTTATTTGGTCATTCGAGGTACCGAAGGGGAAGCACGGCTACACTCCCCCGCGTCAACATACCTAATGACATACGGGCAATATCAACAACACTTACTCTGGCTGTAGGTTTTACTTTTAAACACCCTTGGTTTTTGTCGAGCCTTCGACTTTTGTCGAAAAAGCGAGACATAGCGATCCTACATTCCGTTGGCGGCGGCGTCCACAAATATTCACTCTGTGGTTAAAGTTTTTGAAATTTTAATAACTTTCTTAAACTATCCTGGATTTCTACCAAACTTGGACAGAAGCTTGTTTATGATCATAAGATAGTATCCAGAATTAAATTTTGTAAAAAAAAAAATCCTGTTTTTCCGTATTTTACTTATAAATGGACTTAGTTTTTCTGCCAGGAAACATTACATTCACTCTGTGGTTAAAGTTTTTAAAATTTTAATAACTTTCTTAAACTATCCTGGATTTCTACCAAACTTGGACAGAAGCTTGTTTATGATCATATGATAGTATCCAGAAGTAAATTTGTAAAAAACAAAATTCCATTTTTTCCGTATTTAACTTATAAATGGACTTAGTTTTTCTGCCAGTTAACATTACATTCACTCTGTGGTTAAAGTTTTTAAAATTTTAATAACTTTCTTAAACTATCCTGGATTTGTACCAAACTTGGTTAGAAGCTTGTTTATGATCAAAAGCTAGTATCTTGAAGGAAATTTTAAAAAATTTTGTACCTGTTTATCAGTATTTTACTTATAAATGGACTTAGTTTTTCTTCCAGTTAACATTACATACAGTCTGCAGTTAAAGATTTAAAACATTTATTAGATTCATAAACTATCCTGGATTTTTACCAAATTGGGACAGAAGCTTCTTACAATCAAAAGATTGTATCGAAAGTAATATTGTTATTATTTTTTTTTCTCATTTTTGTTGAGCCTGCGATTAACAGCAAAAGTAGGCGAGACACTGGGTTCCGCGGAACCCTTACGAATTTTTTAGTTAGACACCGATTGTAACCGGAAAGCATGATTTGTCTGATAAAGTAAATTACTGATTCAACCTTGATTTGAACCTAAAACCCCTGGCATAGTAAGCCACTGCTATACAAACTGAGTTAAGTAAGCATAACTAATGGAGGGCAGTTATATATATCTTCTATGTAACTTGTAAGATGACAGTGTTCTCGAAAATCGTCGGTCCTGACTGCCAAAAATCAGCCAGGACCGAAAATTGCATGTGTAGTGGCAGTCCTGATGACCGACAATATTTTGGTGGTTGTTCACTTTTGTTTTCACATCTTTTCGGTATTCAGATAGCTTTTGAACTGGTTGCTAATGTAAACAAACTTTTAACTGTATAGGTCAAAATTAGGGTACTACTTTTGAAAAAGAACCAGTCGTCGGTTTCTTTGGTATCCAGATAGTTTTTGAACTGGATACTACTGTAATTTAACTTTTGTAGCCTCTAGCTTAAAATTACGGTAATACTTTTGAAAAATAACCAGACATAAAAGTCATCATGGCATCCACATGGCTCATTTCGTTCAGAGGGGGTGCTAAACCAGAGGACTTTGTATTTGAACAGACAGAGACTGAACATTTTTTTCTATATTACAAAAATTGCAGCTGAGGAATAAACATCAGACTTCTTTTATTTCTTAATTTTAATGCACTTTTCACTGTAAATGATTGTAGTGGACACAGGTTGGGAACAAGTCAGGAAAAGTGGGGTATTCACTGTTTTCAGGGAACATCCCAGTTTACAGGGACTTCCAATTTCTATTTCAATTTATGGCATGAATCAGTAGTATTTGTAAATACTTAGAGTATTTCATGAACAGCAAAGCATGAATAAGTGAGGCCTTTCTTTTTCTAGAACTCAAAAACATACAAATCTTTTGTTTAGGAATCAACTGACCAAGATGCATGCTCCAGGTGTAACTGACCATTACTGAATTATGTTCACTTCTATTGAAAGTTTCTATTCATTGAATTTAAATGCCCAATTGATTAACCTATCTTTTTGTCATCTCATAATTGAATTATTGATGATCAAGGTATGAATTGGTGAACAAAGGAGTTGTTTTGTTGTGAGTTGAGTACCAAATAGACTTGAAATTAGTTTGATTTTTGAACTAATAAAAACACCTGCTAACATAAAACATTGTTATCAGATGTAAAAGGTGCACTTTTGTAGATTTCATACCATAAAATAGGAAAAAAGAAGTCCCTGTATACTGGTTTTTTTTTTAACACCAGAAAACTGGGGTGTAACATGAAAACAGGGAATACCCCACTTTTCCTTACTTGAGTCCACCCAACCTGTTAAACTTATTAAGTCTCGATGTAATTCATCATTTCGTAAAAGACATTTTTCCTAACGAATTATAAACAATTGGAACAGTTTACCCAAAATGTTGTGTCTGCAAAGACCGTTGATAACTTTAAAATACAACTTGATCATCATTGGGAAGATGTTATGTACCAGTTTTAGTGATAAATTATTTTTATTACAAATTTTTATTGAAATTCCTTACACTTGAGCCCTTAAACGACTCTACAGGTATTCTACAGGTAGTATAATGCATGAGACTAACACAAAAATGAAATCAAACATGTTATCAAACTGACAAAGTATAAAAATTAGTGAACAATGCAAAGTTCAAAATTTCATTGAAAACAACCAAATATATAACATAGAAACAAGGATGGAGTTTATATATATTGAGCAATGACTTTCATTTAACTAATAGGTGTTTGATAAATTCAAGTAAAATTACAGGACCACCAGATTTTTAGTCTTGGTGGTCCCAATGACCACCAGGAAAAAAAAGATTTCGAGAACTCTGAGATGATTAATTACAACAACTAAAAATGTTTGTAAGATCCAGAATGAATAAACACAGAAAATTTGTCTGCTATAAATTAATGATGGCTTTTTTGAGGAAAATTTTACTGGGCTGTGGTTAGGATTGTGAATAATCATGATGATAACATTTTTCAAATTTAAAAAAAACAGTTTATAACCTTGAGAGGGAATAATCAGCACTGGTCAGTGGCGGATCCAGAAGGGGGGGCGTAGAGGGCGTACTTGCACTTTTTTTTTTATTAAGACTGTAAAATGGTTAATCAGACTAGATATTGTTGAGTGACTCTGCCATTTCCGCTATTATGCAAATTACACATGAGACCATGGATCTATATATCTGTTAGAAACACATGAAGGACTTGTTTACCACAACGAAACATAGGACCATAGAACTATTAAACTGTTTGTAGCATGCCATGGTCTCTTTTATACATATTACACATGAGACCATGGACATATATATACGTTAATAACACATCATGGACTTTTAAACCACAAAGAAACATAAAAACATGGACCATAGACTGTCAGTAACATGTCATGGTCTCATTTATGCATATTACACATGAGACCATGGACCATGGACATATATATCTGTTATTAACACATCATGGACTCTTATAAAGCTATGCAACAGAAGACCATGGACCAATTAGACTTGTCAGTAACATGTCATGGTCTCATTTACGCATATTACGCATGAGACCATGGACCTATACATATGTTATTAACACATCATGGACATTTATACCACAATAACACATAAAACCATGGACCAATTAGATTGTATCATGCCAAGGTCTCTTTTATACACATTACAAATGAGACCATTGACCTATGTATCTGTTTTCAACACACAAAGAAACATAAGACCATGAACCAATTAGACCGTAACATGCCATGGTCTCTTTTATACACACTACACATGAGACCATGGACCTATACATATGTTATTAACACATGGACTCTTATACCACAATGAAACAGAAGACCAAAGACCAATAAGACTGTCAGTAACATACCCTGGTCTCTTTTATACATATTACACATGAGACCATTGACCTATATATCTGTTATCAACACATCATGGACTCTTAAACCACAATAAAACAGAAGACAATGAACCAATTAGACTGTCAGTAACATACCATGGTCTCTTTTATACATATTACACATTAGACCATGGACCTATACAAATGTTATTAACACATCATGGACTCTTATACCACAATGAAACATAAGACCATGGACCAATTAGAACTTAACATGCTGTGGCCTCTTTTATACATATTTGGCATGAGACCATGGACCTGTATATATGTTATAAGCATATCATTTTCTCTTTTATACATATCACACATGAGACCATGGACCTATATATTTGTTAGTAACACATTATGGACTCATATACCACAATGGAACAGAACACAATGGACCAATTAGACAGTCATTAACATGCCATGGTCTATTTTATACACATTACACATGAGACCATGGACCTATATATCTGTTATAAGCATATCATGGAATCTTATACCACAAAGAAACAGTAGAGTGTGGGCCAATAAGACTGTCAGTTACATTCCATGGTCTCTTTTTATGCATTTTACACATGAGACCATGGACTTATAATTTATATATCTATTAACACATCCTGGATCACAATGAAACAGAAGACCCTGGACCAACTAGACTGTAAGTAACATGCCATGGTCTCTTTAATACATATTAAGCATGAGACCATTGACCTATACATAAATTATTAACACATCATGGACTCTTATACCACAATGAAACATAAGACCATGGACCAATTAGACTCATAAACATGCCATGGTCTTATATGCATATTACACATGAGACCATGGACCTATATATCTGTAAGTAACACATCATAGACTCTTATACCACAATGAAACAGAAGACCATGGACCACTAGTCTGTTTGCCAATTCCTGTAATTAGAGAACTTTTTTGGTTGTCTCCCTTAGGAGGGACATTAATTTTTAATGACAATGGAGATCTAGTGGAAAGAGCAAATGTATCTATGCGTTATGTGTGTAACCTTTAAGTGTTTCAAATCATTTAATGATTTTTTTAAGCTAAATACTTTTGATAACTGAAGTTATTTTTCAATAAAAATTTGTTAAAACGCTGATATATCACTTTCAACTTATGCTGAGTGGTCAAAAGCCTATTTTGTCCAGCATAGAACCAGTCTACGATTGACAAAGGGAAGTAATTTTTCTTTATTTATATATATTTCTTATGTTTCATAATGTAATGTTTTAATATGGAAGATTTAAGTATACAATTGTTTTATTTAGATTTTCTGCATGGACGATAAGTATTTTTACCTCAATTAGTAATGTGTAAAATTACTGAAATTATTGTAGTAAAACTCTTATGTTATATCTGTATTTATAATCACACATATAAATATTTACCTGTATTTATAAATCTTTTTAGTGGGAGGGAAAAGGGGCATATTGTAACTTAAAGCTGTTAAACCATAATTTTATGATACTGATAAAGTGTTTGTTTTTCAGAGGCAGACAACACTCCAGATCAGGCTCCAGATGATAATAATATTGTTTCAATACCATCCTCTTCTGTGCTGGAAACTCAGGTCTATGATTTGGATGTTGGCATCATGAGATCGCTGATATCCCAATCAGCTGGACCACTGACTTCTCTATCTAGTATGACACAATATATTTTTATGTATTTTCCTTTCTTTAATATTAATAACGTATGGTTTCCATTGTTATATCCTTGTAAGTTGAAAACATTTATAATAGCACATTCTTAATGGTTTACCATTATAACTTACTGATAGGATATAGTAAGTTTCTATTTAACCTTGATAAAGGGGGCTATGACGCAAGAGTAAATGACATGTCATACATCAAAACTTTGATGGACTTGTCATCAGATTACTGAATATATATATCCCTACAGTGTTGAATTATTGTATTATATGCCATTTTGTATAACATTGTTTTGTTATTAATGTACAGTGATTATTGGTCTTGTGTATTGTAATATTGAAAGCCTTTGGCTTAGAAAACATCAGCATGTTGACCCATTTCTTTTCCCTTGGGCAGTTAATCCTTTGTAATGCCTTTTGCTTATATTTATGTTATTTACATATTTCTTTTAAGATACAGGCTCTTTGGGTTTAATTGTTCTTTCAGCAACACACTTAACTATTTTAAAATTGGTGTATTCCATGGGCATAATCTTTTGATGGAACAGTGTTAAAATTAACAATCATTATTTTACTTATCTTTTACACCATCCATCAACTTTTGTAGTCTCCTCAATCAGTTGTAATGCAACTTGCTTTTGAATATCTTTTAGTATATAAATGGTACAGAAGAAGAATGTATAGAAACTGGCCACCATGATCAAATAGAGCCTCAGGAAACAGGGGAAGGGGACAAGGTAGTGCAGGAGACCGATGAAGAACAAGGGGGAGTAATAGTTCAAGAGACAGGACAGGAGAAAGGGCAAGAGCCGGAGGGGGAAACACACGTTAGATATGAAGATCATTCGATACAGGTGTTTTTTATGTCTGTTTATGTTTAGGAACTTTTAATTTTTCATATATAATTAAAGTCATTCATTGTATATATTAAAAAAAAATTAAATATGTTGTATGATTGCCAATGAGACAACTTTCGAGAGACCAAATGCCATAGAAGTTAACAACTATAGTTTACTGTTCAGCCTTCAACAATGAGCAAAACCCATGCCGCTTATCAAGCCATAAAAGGCCCTGAAATAACAAATGTTAAACAAATTAAATTTGAAAACTAACAGCCTGATTCGTGTACAAAACAATATACAATTATGATAACAAACGACAACCAATGAATTACACTGGATTTAGTGTAAATACATCATTAACAGTCATTAACATTTAGAGAAAAACATGACCTTGTGAAATAACACGATACAGGCATCAACAGATGTGCGTATATATTTAGTGTGATTTTAATTTACTGATGGAATAGTCAATATTTATTCCAATATAAACAATATTTAAAAATCTAATTACAGTGTTAAATTGTTATCCTTTTAGAATAAGTTTATTTAACGATTGATAACTTCACCCAGAGCATACCTAAATTTTCCAGGCTCGGTAAACAACATGGTAAAGTAGGAAAATCAATATGAACAGTCACATTATTTTTAAGTAAGTCTTTAACTTTTTCAGCAACAGGAGATATTAAGTAGCAGGAAAATTTTTCTTTATTTTTTATTATGTTTTTGTTAATATTACTAAATGTGTGGTGTTTTTTTTATATAAAAGTATATGCACTGAAAACATTTAAAGATTGAAGTGTATTTTATAGGTGAAAAGAGAAAGAATACACTCAATTTTCATGGAAGAGGTAAAATATAACTTAAATTTTTTATAATGCACAAATTGAAGTTTATTTTTAAACCATTACACATAGAGGCCACTGTTATGGCCTTATACTTTAACTAAATACAATGTACAAAGAAAGCTGTAAATTGGTCAGTTGAAACATAAATGTTGGGTATATACCATTAACACAAAAAAATAATTGATTGATTGAAAATTGGTTGCTAAACATCCAGTGTTGAATATTTCATGCATGTTCAGGATGACAAAATAAATGACAAATATAATAAATGATGCATGTTTATAAGAGACACACTTGAAAAATGGTATCATGTATATTCTGAGATCTTACAAGCACTTCACCTATTTGAAAAAGTCATTTGTGTATAACTGTAAAACATTTCCTTGTTTCTTGCTGTGCTTAGAAAATTCCTTGGTTTTTATTTTGAAATGTCTGAAATGTTTTTAATTGCTAAAACTTATTGATCACATATATAGTAACAAACAGTTGGTTTTTTTTTAAATTTGTTTCCTTCATTTAACAATTGTTTTCATTTATATTTATTTAGATTACATTAGAAGAAAAATGTTTAAAAGTGAGGTGTTTGATTACGTTGTGGTTTGATTTGTGGGGTTTGGCAGAAGTTATTTGGGATTACATTCCTGTTTTTCCAGACACCCTGTCAAATACTTGGAGGCCCAACACCTTAATAGATACCAACAAAAAGTAAGTTATTAATCAAGTTTCATCTAGTGGGCATAGAATTTGAGTTGATAACCTACATGTAAGTGCTGGTTTTAAAATGATTTTTCAATATAGCCTTAATTAAATCCTACATCAAGATTAGAAATAAATCCTTGTTTATCTTGCTTTGTTTATAGTTAATATTCTTTGAAAATCGGGTAATATTAGAGATGTCCTTTTTTCAGGTGTAAAGACTTTATACCACTTTCCATAGGGGAACGTACAGCTTACCAGTCCACAGCAAATGGAAATTGCATTTATAATGCAGTGTCCATTATCCTCTATGGAAATGAAGATATGGCTGTGGTACTGAAGCTGGCTTCAGTGCTGAAAATGGTGGACGATATAGTACCATTTTCAAAATATGTAAGAATACAATATATTCATTTATTTGTTTTTTCATCATTTTATACCATTCTATTACAGATAGAATATAGAATTGTTTGTTGCTCTAAATCCAACCTAATGAGGTTCCCTACTGGAAATCCATTTTGCTAAACAGTTCTATATGTTAAATCATTATAAAGCAAGTATAAAATTCAACCTGTTTATTAGTCCCCTATCGACGAAGTCGAAGGGGACTTTAGGTTTGCACTCCGTCCGTCTGTCTGTTTGTCTGTCCTTCTGTCAGTCCGGCAAATCAGTTTTCCACACTTTTTTTCTTCATTCTTGAAGATATTGATTTGATATTTGGTATGTTGTTTTATCATAACAAGTAACAGATTAAGTTCGAATTTTGTTCCGGTCTGATAATTTTGTGCAGAGTTTATAGTCCTTGGACTTAAAAAATTCCCTCAAATATTCAGTTTTCTGCACTTTTTTTCGTCATTCTTGAAGATTATGATTTGATAATTGGTACGTTGTTTTATCATGACAAGTTACAGACCAAGTTTGAATTTCGTTTCTGTTTGATGATTTTTTGCAGAGTTATGGTCCTTGGACTTAGAAAATTCACTTAAATTATCAGTTTTCCACACTTTTTTTCGTCATGCTTGAAGATATTGACGATATTTGTTGTATAGTTTACACCATGACCAGTTATAGATCAAGTTAGCATTTTGTTCCAGTACAATTAATTTTTAACCGGTAGGGGACTATGTACATGTATTGCCATGCAATACTCTCAGAATGCTTGTTTGAAAAGATTTTATATTTGCAATTCACAAACCATTTATATGATCACAATCTGGTGTTACAATCAATATCAAAATAATGTAGTATGATAAAAGAGTAGCACATAAGTATACAAATGTAGACAAAAAGGACATATATTAACAAAATTATGTAAATCACAGGTTACCATTAAGGGGTTATCTATGATTGTGCTTGGCAATGTTAATTTTATTTTTTTAAATTTGAGCACTGACAGAATTGCCTATAGGAAACAGTTATTTTAATTATAGAAGAATTTAAAGAGAAAACTATCTGTGGGTTAAATCTACCCTGCTGCAGGTAAATGCAGCCTCAACAGCAGAGGAGGTAGAGTATGGATGCCGAAAAGAGCTGGTCTCGACTATTCAACATCCATACAGGGAAGGAAGTAAGTATAATGTTTCTTAAAATAATTTTTATCATTCAAATGTTTAAAAAATATATTAATACAAAAATGAGGAAATGTGGTATGATTTCCAATGAGACAACTCCCCACAAGAGACCAAATGACACAGAAATTAACAACTACAGGTCACCGCACAATCTTCAACAATGAGCAAAGCTCATATTGCATAATCGGCCATAAAAGGCTCCAAAATGACAAATCTAAAACCATTCAAACAAGAAAACTAACAGCCTGATTGATGTACAAAATAATGAATGAAAAATGCACATATTTATTTAGCACCAATAGTTATAGTTCTGTTCTGTATATCATTACTGTGTGACTTTTTTTGATGATCAATGTATGTAATAGTAGACCAAGTATTCTGTTTTTAATTTTGCTACCTATGTATATTATCTATAGCTTTGTTATTTTTCTTTCAGCTGTTTTCCATCTACATCTATTGTCCCATTTGATGTCACGTCCAATACAACAGCACTGCAAAAAAATACCAGCAGTACCTGCAACTGATCCTGCCACCGCTGACACCCCCAGCTAGACCATCATTTTCACACTTGGTTTGGGTGCCTGCCAATCCAAGAAATGCGTAAGATATCAAAGTTGTATGCCTCACTTTATCCTGCAATCAGTTAACTATTGTACAAATAACAGGTACACAAATAAATTTTTGCTTTATTTGTACATGTACAAATAAAGTCTACAGTTACCCCACTTCCATGTTGAGCAAGCTGTAATGGGGATATTTCTTTTGGCGTAACAGTTCATTTTGGGGTCCTCTTCGCAGTCTGCGATTTCTTAGAAAAAAATAGATTTGGATTTGGATTTTAACAACTAAAGTTTCAAGTGTCGGTGTAAATTGCAGGATAAAAACAATATATGTACATTGTCAGAAAATATCAAATTTATTTGTAATCGGTACGAAACCGGAGAAAAGCTCTGAGAGCCTCTCTTTTAATCCTGTTTCTAAAGCTCATACAAATAAATTTGATATTTCCCAACAATGTACATATATTTTGTATATTTATCATGCTCATTCCAAAGATATTCACTCAAAATATATCATGTTAACAATGTCTGTGTATTACATTTGTAAAGTTATTTCCATGATCACTCACATCATTTACCAATAAATATATAGTGTGTGAAATGGCTATGTATCTCTAATGTCAAAACTAAGGCTTACAATTTCATTAAGGTTGCTGTAAAGTGTGATTTTCATGTTCCTTAGGAGTGACTAAAAAATATATTATGTTCTAGGGAGTTCAGCAAATTTTCTGAAGAATTTTTTAAAATTTATCTGACTTGAATTCAACCTAATTACATACTACATCAAAAAGCATTTTGGAGTAAATTGAAATATATTTATAGACACCTAAATGCATATTTTTTTTACTTTTGAATTTAGTTATACTTGTATGATAATTTTTTTATTATTTTCTTCATACAGTTTTGCATCTATCAACCATGTGGTTCCAGCTGTTTGCTCATTGGGACCTTATGGAAGCAGTATTGAGGATTGTGTGTTCCTTGGCCTTGGGTTGTGCTGTTTTATGGTCAGCCACCACAAGGATATAACCCCAGGCTGGGTGGAATGTACCCTTTGTGGACAGTGGGTTCATGACACATGCATGGGTGTCACTGCAGCAGCCTTTAGCTTGCAGGATGATTTCCCATGTGAATGTGATTGCCTGCAAAATGGAGAGTTAAAACTGAAAAGGTAAAAAAAGTACCTAGTTCTCATAAAAAAAACTCTTCCTTTATCCGGTCTAATTTACCCAAATATAAAATTCTGTGTTTTCAATACTTAGTATTTTCATTTTTACGGAAATTGTACAAAAATGTTTCTAAAAGTTTTTTCTATATTTTTTGTTGAATGTAAGTTGGTTTCATTTTTATGTACACCATTTAGAGATAAGTTTTATGCTATTGGAAAAGTATTTTGTATTGTGTTAGCTATTCTACATTGCATACTTATTTTTTTTTTTATATTTCAGCATTGAATACTACACAACTTTGCAGGTTAAAGACCTGGATATGGATTTCAATGTAAGTGTATATTATGAAAGAACAAACATGACCATTTATTGAATGATGCTGACTCAGACCACTACAAATGAAAACTAAAATGAGAAGAAAGACAAGTTATGCAAATATTATGTATTTTGTCTTTTGTATCTAGTAAATAGTCAAAATATGATTTTTTTTTTTAAACAGTATGCCATACTTTCTGTGCTACAGTTCTACAGGTGATGAAATATTAGATAAATGTGGTACCAAACCCCTTGACTAAAATTAATTTGGCTCGTTTAATTTTCATAAAATTTGGACAAAAAATTTACTTTGAGCCTTTGACAAAAATATAAAAATTTCAAAAAACCTGAACCACACAGTTTATCAGAAAAATTCATTGGATCTATAGCAGTTTGACATACACTAATTTTGATCATTCAAAAGCTTAATATTTCCTTACAATAAAACGTGATTTAAACGTTCAGCTGATTTTTACAGAGTTATCTCCCTGTTGTGTTATGTGCCACCTTAAAAAGGCATTTTTAAGGTCCACAGAGTACTGATTTTAGATGAAATTTCAATATTAGAACATTCTGTTGACATGTAAACTTCTAAATCAAAGAGGAATACATGTTGAAATGTGATATTTTCAAACTGATACTTTCAGATGATAGTCGACAAAGTGGCACAAATGCACAGCCTGAGAAAAGAGTTTTCCAGGGAAGCAAATGGAAAACTCAAATGGGCTTTGAGAAGTGGTCGGTTTGGTCCATTTACAGACGAGTTTGTAAGTTTTAGTAATTAATGTTATTGCAGTATATATCAAATGGTATAAAAAAAAGTTGTAGTTACTTTTATCTTCAAAGTCATGCCATTTGATAACAATGTTTTTACCTCAGCAATAAAAAGTTTTAAGAAATCATTTTTATAATAATTGTATTCAAATGTTTCTGAAAAATGAGAAAAAAATTAATTTGGAGGTAGCTACAAAATCTGATTGTTGTATTTTTCATTTTCTTCAGGTTGACACTGAATACCAGTTTGATCACAAATGTTGGAGTAGAAAAGCTCCACCTTATACCGGATTTATATATGCCTGAGGTAAATCACATTTGTTTTACATATGAAAAGTATGCTTTAATTATATTCATCTCTTATTCAATTGTAAAATCTTGAACAAAATAATCTTTTGAGTAAATGAGGCTTGCTTGTTTATATGTAGATACAAAATGAGTTGATATATACAAAACTAGAACATTCATTTATTATTTCAATTTTAAGTCAGACTAAAGGAATATTTAGAATTGTTACTTTGGGAAAATCAAAGTATAATTGATTTGTTAGGTTAAAATTGGAAATTCTTATTTTTATACGACTGCAAAAAAATTTTTGTGGTCGTATATTGGTATGACGTTGGCGTCGTCATCGTCGTCGTCAGATTTTTTTTTCCTTTTTTTTCTTTAAAATTTTCCATTTTAAATTGGTTATTTCTGATTTATATATAAAAGCAAATAATAATGATATGGTTTGAATAGGTAAATTAAAAATTTTTAAGTTCTTAGACCACTTTCATTCTGTGTGAGAAACCTATGCTGTGTCAAATATTTAATTACAATCCAAATTCAGTGCTGTATCAAGCTTGAATGTTGTGTCCATACTTGCCCCAACTGTTCAGGGTTCAACCTCTGCGGTGGTATCAAGCTGCGCCCCAGCGGAGCATTTTATTTTAAATCAAATGATTGTGTTGATATTATTTTCTTTTGGCTTAATTTTAGACGTATTTTATTTAGCATATTATTCTTGTTATTTTTTTTTAGGTTTGATACAAGTTCTATGTGAAAAAGAAGAAATAAACAGGCTTGTGGATGAACTGGTTCTTCTGAGACATAAATCATGCTAACCACTGTATATCATTGTTACTTCCATTTTCATTTTCATTTTTTTTTTTTTTTAAACTTTTTTATCTGTAGTAGATATTTGTAGCAAAACATATTGATGAAAAACCTATATCTAAAGTGACGATCCATATGTTTAAATTTGTTTTATGATTTTTAATCTCTAATATCTACTTTTTTATTTAGAAAATATTTATCCTTACCTGAAAATGTCACTCAAATTTTTCACACAAAACCTTTTTCGGAACCCAATAATTGATAACATATATATGACTCATTTTTGATTCAGCCATGCTGGATCTATGCGATCACTCTGTTTTTGTAGATGGTGAAGACTACTAAGTTGAGGACATGATATTAAACTAATTATGTGTTTTTATGACTTGCAGAAATTTTCTGCACCATTTTAATCATGAACTGTCCTTAAATCAGGAAAAGATTGGTCGAACAACCCTTTTATTTTAGATATACACTTGCATATAGTTCCTTTGTAAATCAAAATTTATAATGATTTACTAGTTATGAATTAATTTGAAAAAGTATTTGTACATCAATTGAATCAGTTGATAAGAATTTTAAAAGTATTATGTTAGTATCTTATGCTTGTGTAAGTTGTTGTTCAATGAAATGTAGGTCAACATCTGTATTAATATATATCAGTTAATTCCCACACTTTTTTTGAAATGGTATTACTCCAATTCTTTCCAAAGGCAAGTAAGAGTCAGTATGATTATCAACTGTCATGAATTTTAAATAATTACAATCAAAGGTGTAAGTATTAAATGGAAACGACCCCAGCCTTAATTCACCACAGTTAATGTCTCATGACCTGTTACATAATTAAATAGACACAATTTATTACACACCGAACTGAATACACACATTCTCAATAGTAAACCTAAAAATGTATTTATTTATTTTAATCTACAATAAAATATTCTGTTAGTTTATGCTAGCTAGCTGAATGATTAATCAGATGTGGGTTTTTTTCAAAGAAAAGACAAAAAATTCAAAAAATATGTATCAAAAATGCAAGCTAATTTTATTTCACTTGTAAAATCAGAGTGTCATTATCATCTGACATAAGTCAATAATCAAGTTCAAATTAATTAGTTGCAATTATCAGAAATTTGGTTGAAATAATATACAAAATTGCATAACTCTTACTTGAGCATTTTCTGCAATAAAATTTATTTGTTTGTTCTACATTTATATCCCATTATATTGCTATTTAACAGTAATTGGAAATATCTCATCATTAGGTATTTGTACATTTAAATTTGAATACAGGAAATGTATTTTTTCTTAATGAAGAATGAACACCAATTAATATAAAAAAATAGTTATTTTTTTTAATTTTTGTTGTTGAGAAAGTGCATTTCTAAGGCCTCTTTCTGGAAATTATAAAGCCAGTTATTATAAATGGCATATAAAAAAATATATTATTTGACGATTTCCCTTTCCATTCTTGTCAAAAAAAATCTGACAGAGTCTAAAATTGAAATATCAATATATATATCAATATTTGCATTAATATTTTTTTTTCCATAGAAATTTTACAGTAAGATTGAAAATGAAAAGAGAAGAAAATATTGAAAAAAGTATGGTCAGAAAGAATATCAGACTAGCTATAAATATAATGGCTGGATCACAACATCAACGATGCTTTGATTTCCATTATAGTTAAAAATATAATTGTTAAAACTCTTGACTATAAAATTATGTAATTATCTAAATGCAGCATGGAAAATGAGATGTCAAATTATTACTTAACATTGTATCATTTGTGTTGTTTTCTGCTGTTTATCATTGTGTAATATATGTTTTGATTGCCATAGCATGTAAATGTTTTTTGCAAATAAACTCATTCATTCATTCATTCATATTCAGTTTAAATTTACAAGGTAGGAGTCATATGTGTGTGTATAGATTAAAGTTTATGTCTATTTTTTAATTGTAAAAATCATTTGTCTAATTACTATTTTACCATGAATAATACAGAAAATATGTTTTACCTGTTATTAACTAAGTAATATGTATTGTTCAATGTCTACAATCCTTGAAATATTTGAAATTGACAGTGGTATCTCATTTATATTGACCATATATTATACAATCAGTGATATATCATACAAGTACACACCAATGTTTTATGAAATAACTAGTTATTTACATATGTTATATTGCTATTCAAATTTGTTTTATTTATAATATTACTATTAATAAACATCAGAAGCTTAGATCCTATTACTGTTATTCCTAATAGGAATCCATCAACTACAATAACATAAGAAAATTTGTTGGAAATGTTTTAATCAATTTTTTTCCATCAAACCTGATTAATTATATTTAATTAATTATATTTCTTTGTAAAATATTGAATTTTAAGTTTAGGACTGTTAGTTCATCTGTTGGGCATGTATAAACTTTTTTTTTTTTTATAATTATGAATAAATATTTTTAAAATTTATTTGTTTATTATTTGTGCTGCAAATGTATCCAAATGTAAAGAAGATAACTTTACATAATAAGTTATGAAAAGGGCAACATCATTTACAGATATCTTTTTCATCTGTTCTTTCAGAACTTTGATTTAATCAAAAGTTTATCAATGATATGCTGTTTTTAATTACAAACTGGCAGATCGCTCCAAATATTCCAAAAATGGTGGTAAATATACATGTATTTACCAAAATTAAAAAACTGCATGTCATAATATTCTTAAGAACATGGACAGGACTCCATACTTGAAAATAAAAGCCAATGACTTCATGAATCAGTGCATCAAATTCATGTCTTAAGCGTTCATCGCACCAATTTATCAATGAAATGCATGCAACTTCATTCATACAACCAAACGACCATTTCTTTTTACTTTATATTCTCAACCAAAAAAAAACTACAGTTAAGCAGATGTAAATCAAATCTTCTTTTTTTTTCAAAATTTTAGCCCCAAAAAAATTGTCAGTCCCTTTTTAGCTCACCGTGGCCCGAAGGGCCCCATGTGAGCTTATGCCATCACTTGGCGTCCGTCGTCTGTCGTAGACTATTTAAAAAATCTTCTCCTCTGAAACTACTGGGCCAAATACCTTCAAACTTTAACTAAATGTTCCTTAGGGTATCTAGTTTATAAATTGTATCCGAAGTTTTGATCCATCGACAAACATGGCTGCCATGGCTAAAAATAGAACATAGGGGTCAAATGCAGTTTTTGGCTTATATCTCAAAAACTAAAGCTTTTAGAGCAAATCTGACATGGGGTAAAATTGTTCAATTGGTCAAGATCTATCAGCTCTGAAATTTTCAGACGAATCGAACAACCCATTGTTGGGTTGCTGCCACCGAATCGGTTGTTTTAACAAAATTTTGCAGTTTTTTGTTATTATTTTGAATATTATTATAGATATATATAAACTGTAAGCAGCAATAATGTTCAGCAAAGTAAGATCTACAAAAAAGTGAATATGACCATAATTGTCAATTGACCCCTTAAGGAGTTATTGCCCTTTAAAGACAATTTTACACAATTTGTTCATCAAGTTTGCTAACATTTAAAAATCTTCTCGTCTGAAATACAGGTGAGCGATTCAGGCTCTTGAGAGCCTCTTGTTTTTATACCCATCGATGTCAACATAATAAAGTTTTTGTGTCAATGATGAAGTTAATTTTTATCTGTAAAGCAAAGAACTCAGTATAATTATATGGCTTCACTTGACAGGTGTCAAACCTACTATTATTCAACTTCATCAAAAATTACCTTGACCAAAAACTTTAACCTGAAGCGGTACAAAAAAATGAAAGGACGAACGACCGAAAAACATAATGCCCGTAAGTGGGGCATGAAACAAAAATGCCAATATTCTATATGTATGACATGGTATCAAATGAAACTATATTGTACCAGGTGCAAAACGTCAACTACAGATTAGCATAATACCACATTGAACAATATATACCCATCGAATAACTCCGTCTCATTGGTGTATGAATGTTATATAGGGTTTATAACCATCGAATAACTCTGTCTCACTAGTGTATGAACGTTATATAGGGTATATACCCATCGAATAACTCTGTCTCATTGATGTATGAACGTTATATAAGGTTTATAACCATCGAATAACTCTGTCTCACTAGTGTATGAACGTTATATAGGGTATATACCCATCGAATAACTCTGTCTCATTGGTGTATGAACGTTATATAAGGTTTATAACCATCGAATAACTCTGTCTCACTAGTGTATGAACGTTATATAGGGTATATACCCATCGAATAACTCTGTCTCATTGGTGTATGAACGTTATATAAGGTTTATAACCATCGAATAACTCTGTCTCACTAGTGTATGAACGTTATATAGGGTATATACCCATCGAATAACTCTGTCTCATTGGTGTATGAACGTTATATAAGGTTTATAACCATCGAATAACTCTGTCTCACTAGTGTATGAACGTTATATAGGGTATATACCCATCGAATAACTCTGTCTCATTGGTGTATGAACGTTATATAGGGTATATAACCATCGAATAACTCTGTCTCACTAGTGTATGAACGTTATATAGGGTTTATAACCATCGAATAACTCTGTCTCACTAGTGTATGAACGTTATATAGGGTTTATAACCATCGAATAACTCTGCCTCACTAGTGTATGAACGTTATATAAGGTATATACCCATCGAATAACTCTGTCTCACTAGTGTATGAACGTTATATAGGGTATATACCCATCGAATAACTCTGTCTCATTGGTGTATGAATGTTATATATGGTTTATACCCATTGAATGACTCTGTCTCATTGGTGTATAAATGTTATATAGGGTTTATACCAATCGAATAACTCTGTCTCATTGGTGTATGAACGTTATATAGGGTATATACCCATCGAATAACTCTGTCTCATTGGTGTATGAACGTTATATAGGGTTTATAACCATCGAATAACTCTGTCTCACTAGTGTATGAACGTTATATAGGGTATATACCCATCGAATAACTCTGTCTCATTGGTGTATGAACGTTATATAGGGTATATACCCATCGAATAACTCTGTCTCATTGGTGTATGAACGTTATATAGGGTATATACCCATCGAATAACTCTGTCTCATTGGTGTATGAACGTTATATAGGGTATATAGCCATCGAATAACTCTGTCTCACTAGTGTATGAACGTTATATAGGGTTTATACCCATCGAATAACTCTGTCTCATTGGTGTATGAACGTTATATACGGTTTATACCAATTGAATGACTCTGTCTAATTGGTGTATGAACGTTATATAGGGTTTATAACCATCGAATAACTCTGTCTCACTAGTGTATGAACGTTATATAGGGTATATACCCATCGAATGACTCTGTCTCATTGGTGTATGAATGTTATATACGGTTTATACCCACCGAATAACTCTGTCTAATTGGTGTATGAATGTTATATATGGTTTATACCAATTGAATAACTCTGTCTCATTGGTGTATAAATGTTATATAGGGTTTATACCAATCGAATAACTCTGTCTCATTGGTGTATGAACGTTATATAGGGTATATACCCATCGAATAACTCTGTCTCATTGGTGTATGAACGTTATATAGGGTATATACCTATCGAATAACTCTGTCTCATTGGTGTATGAACGTTATTTAGGGTTTATACCCATCGAATAACTCTGTCTCATTGGTGTATGAACGTTATATAGGGTATATAGCCATCGAATAACTCTGTCTCACTAGTGTATGAACGTTATATAGGGTTTATACCCATCGAATAACTCTGTCTCATTGGTGTATGAACGTTATATACGGTTTATACCAATTGAATGACTCTGTCTAATTGGTGTATGAACGTTATATAGGGTTTATAACCATCGAATAACTCTGTCTCACTAGTGTATGAACGTTATATAGGGTATATACCCATCGAATGACTCTGTCTCATTGGTGTATGAATGTTATATACGGTTTATACCCACCGAATAACTCTGTCTAATTGGTGTATGAATGTTATATATGGTTTATACCAATTGAATAACTCTGTCTCATTGGTGTATAAATGTTATATAGGGTTTATACCAATCGAATAACTCTGTCTCATTGGTGTATGAACGTTATATAGGGTATATACCCATCGAATAACTCTGTCTCATTGGTGTATGAACGTTATATAGGGTATATACCTATCGA